TGAGTTTTGACCACAGAGATCAAAGCACTCTGCATCCAGAGACTGGAGGAGGAGGACTGACCTGCCTTCTTGTCTCCCCCCTGCTTGATTCCTGAAGCCCAGAGGCCAAGAAGGCCTGGCCAGCAACTTGTTTACAGAGCCACAACAAGAGAAAATTGGCCACCTTCCAGGAAGCTGGTTCCACTGCTCAGCTGCACTTACTTTTAAGAAGGTTCTTCTAATGGTCAAGCAAAGTGGGCCATCCTTGAACTTAAGTTCATTCCAGGTAGTCTGGCCTATAGCAAGCGTGGAGAAGTGAGGCATCATGCCTCCCACATTCTTCTCTCCTCCAGGTAAACACACCTGGTTCCTTCAACAACGGCCTTTAAGGCTGCTGTGCAGGACCTGAACTGGGCCTGAAGGGATGTGGCACCAGGGCACCTTCCTCAGCAGGGTTTCTGCCACCAGCAGTGCAGAACTCCCTGTATTTATTTATTTATTTATTTATTCATTCATTCATTCAAAACTTTTGTGGACCATCCCATTACCGAAGTCTCGGGATGGTTTATCAATAAAATGTAAGAAAAGAAAAAAATTAATTAAAACACAGCACCCTAAAATTTAGCAATAATAAAACCCCACTTAAAACAGTCAGGTCTTAAAACATTAGAAAAATAAAAAGGGTTTTGGCCTGGCACCGAAAAGAATAAAGTGATGGCACCAGGCGAACCTCTCTGGGGAGCGATTTCCACAATTGGGGCGCCACCACAGAGAAGGCCCTTCACCGGGTAGCCACCCTCCTAATCTCCTTCAGGGAGGGCACCCAGAGAAGGGCCTCTGCCCGAATCTTAAGGGGTGGGCAGACATGTATGGAAGGAGACGCTCCTTCAGGTTACCAGGCCCTAAGCCGGTATAGTCCGTGCAACGCTGCATTTCTCACTGCAGCTTAGCAGAATGGATGCCCCCAGCACCAGCATAAAATGCAAAGTATTTCAGAGTGGTTTGACTCAGAATGGGTCACCGACCCACCCGCTTTCCAAAAGTCCTGCTGGAGCTGGAAACAGCCAGGGCTGCTTTGCTGATGTCAACCCAGCAGGTTGCAATTTTGGTCTTTCCTCGGAGACTGTCAAGACGAGCACCAACCTTTCAACATTTGCCACTGCAGGTTTTCTACATGGCCGACCTTCTTGGGAACTACCTTATAAAGAGTCCTGCGTGGGCCCAGGTAGCCAGTACTGCCCGACTGGCTTTCCAAGGCTTCCGGCAGAAGATCTGAGCTCTACCAGGAAATGTGAGAGATCAACCAAGCACCTTTTTGCATGCACAGGTGACCTACCAAAGAACTACAGCCCTTCCCCAATATTCATTGTCCTTTTCTGAACCATCGTAACTGGTCTACATCCTTCCTAAAGTGCGATTTAGAACAAGGATCCACTGAGCACTAAACCTAATTTGGGAGTAAAAGTGTGCCATGTAACCCTATGGCTGATTAGTTATCAGCTTTCAGAAACAGTAACATACACATACTAGTTCTCTCCCTAATTTCTAGGAATCCCTTTCTCCTACAATTCAGCAGCCTCTTTGAGATCTCAATGGTCCAGATGCTTCTGGAAACCCCAAACCAGAGCACAAATGCCACAGTCCGGTTAAGCTTGTTTCCAGCAAAGGGTATTCAAGAGTTATACTGCTTTGATCTTGCGGGTTCAATCTTGCCTTCATGGCTATCGGCCCTCATGAGGTACGTCCTCCATATTTCTGCCTGTCCCTTTTCTGAACTAGTGGCTAGAGGAAAACCTTCTTTTCTTGCTCTCTCAACCTGCCTCTGCTTGTACTTTGATCCCTTGGCAAATGAGTTTCCTCTTAGCTTTCCCAGTTTGCCTTCTGGGAAAGGAGTGTTTGGGGACTGGTTATGCCCCCAATATGAGACATTTTATGAAGGGGAACTCCCCCAATGACCCATCAAAGCTGGGAACCCATGCACGATTCCTTCAAAGAGGGGATGCATGGAATCCAGTTCAAGGCTCCCATGTGGGCTGGCCAACAGCAGCCTCCTCCCAACGGCCTAGAGAGGCACCAGCTGATTGCTAAGACCAAATGCTTAAACCAGTTCACAACTGTGGTCTGGACCTGGAGCTTCCTCCGGGGAACAACCCTTGCGGGCTGCAGAGGCGCACACACAACCCAGTCCTGCGTGAACACAGCACCCAAGTGGCCAATGGTCTCCTGGGCTTAGCAGTTGATTTAGCAGTTGGATTTCAGCAGATGAAAATCTGCCCAGCATTATTGGACTTGTTCAAGTGCAACCCCCTGATAAGTTTCCAAGAGTACCCCCACAAACTGAGCACAGCAGTAAGGGATCTGCGCTGGATACTGTGGGGAGAAACTCTAATCATATGCAGCCGTCATGGTCAATGGGCAAAGAATTGCGATCCAACAACATCTAGAGGTCTGGAAGGCCTGCATCCTGACATGTGTCCAACCCACAAACTCTCAACCCCCAACGCACACCACGGAAGATGCCTTGTGAAAAACCAGCCTTCTCCGACTTCCAACTCTTTTGGCTTACCAACTTTCCCTATCACTGGTCATGCTGGTTGGGAATGGCAGGAACTGCAGTCCAACAGATCTGGAGGGGCATCAGGTTGGGGAGGGCAGACAGCCAGCATACAACAGCAACACTCACCAAAGTCACTCCCCCCTAAAGGCACACCTCAATTTCTGCCCAACGGATTCAGAAAATAGGTACGAAGACGTCTGTTTAAAATAAAACGGAACCACAGTATACGTCATACTGGTGAAGCTCCTTCCACACCATCCCAAAAGTTGAGAATGGGCACAAAGATTATTAGAAAACAAGAGAAAGGGGTCCAGAAGAGTCATTTAAAGATCTATCCCTCAAAATGGGGACGCAAACACAGATTATACATTGGCAAAAAGCAAGCTGAATTTACTGGGATTTCTATATGGCTTCGAAGCAAACCTTCTAACTTTACCCATGCCTCCTGATCTTTAATGACCTGGCTTTGAAACTGGGTTCAAGAGAAATAAGCATGTTCAGCACTGGAAACACTCTAGTGCAGCAAGCAAAACCAAAACAACAGCAGCAACTCTGCCTTGCCAGAAACCAAACTCAAATCAAGAGCATCCTTAAATTTGGGTCGCTATCCTGAAAACCAAGGAGTCTGTCAGATCTTTTGCCTCGGGCCAACTCCTATGGTCTCATGCTGACCCCATCCCCAGAATTTAGAGGTGTGAAACCCCCTGAAGAAAAGAATTCAACTAGATAACTGAGCAATCCACACTTCTGAAAACCCACTGGGATGGAATTCTGAATGCGACATCAGGTGACCATCTTGGAGCACGAAAACACCGACCCGCCTGCACAACGTTCTGGGCTCATCACAACCTTTCATGGTTTAGAAAACAGACAAGTTTGGCAATGAAAATCCTGGACACAGCTCAAAAGCTCCTAACGTGCCTAGGCCGGAGCACAGGGGAAACGGTCACTACCCATATGCCACTTGAAATATACAGTTCTGTTCAGACAGATTCAGGTTTATAATTCAGCCTAAAAAATCCAAGCAGCTAATGGTGTCGAGCACACAAACACACACTAGTGGGGAAAGGCGTGGAAAAACGCGCAACACACGCACTTCCATGTTTGTTCACACAGACACACACCCCATTTTCATGTTACCTACAGCTCACAAGAAGCCGCTCCCCAACTGTCTCTTTTCCACTCTGAGTGTCGGGCCAGATTTCCGTTCCCCCAAAATAGGACGAGCCACCAGGGCACCGCAAAGCTGTCGCTTCGAAAGATCAGACCAGAATCCCCAACGTGATTAGATCCGTCATGACAGCTACAATTATTCTTTTCATGGGGGGGGGGGTAAATAGATTCCCCTCCTCTCTGTGTTTACAGCAACAATGGATAATAGCACGGATAGCGAAAATAATAATAAAGGCAGGAAGCCATTCCGTTTCATTTCTTGTCTACCGCCCCGCTGCCAAAATGCCTTTTTCTGAACATGATCAAGTGTGTCGTAATGCACAGATGCTATTTTAAAAGACGCTGTTAAAAGCACATCACGGTGCTGCTTATGTCTCAGGTTCAAATCCAATCGGGGAGAGAGAGGAGAGTTTTGTAGCATTGCACGACAGTGCAAACACACGCATGCAAGGGCCTGCCCACAACTACAATGCACAACCAAAACAATGGAACTCAACCAGAGGGTTTAAAAAGCAAAACACCAGCAACCCTTGCACAAGATGGCAACGCTTCAGGGTGAGGCGAAAAAGGAACACAAGCAAACACCGCAATCAGAAAGAAGGCCCCAAATATGAGCAGTGCCCTACAATGTTGCTTTGGCAGGGGTGGGCTTTTGGGGGGGGGGGTTGTTGTGCAAGGAACAGGAGGAGGTGTTCGAGCAGGCCTACATCTGCTTTAAATCAGGAGCTCCATTCGCCATCCCTGCAGGGGAAATCGATTCTTTGCACCATTTTGCCCCAAATAATGACCAGGTCTTGCTGAAACTTTGGGGGAGGGGGGAAGGGAAGCGAAAGGAGGCCTTTCCAAACCAACGCCCTTATTGCAATCCTGCTCCCTGCAAAATTCTTCGCCCCCCCACCCTCCGCCGCCAGGGGCCGAAATCTTGGCCAAGGCACCCCGAGAAGGCTCCGACCCGCGATGCTCTGCAACCTTCTGCATTGTGCGCGGAGCGGGTGGGCGCCGCTCCGCGCTTGCAAACGGTGCAAAACGGGGCGGGGGGGGGAGATAACTCCGTCCAGAAAGGGGGCTGCAACCCCTCGGGAGACAAAGAGGGCGGCCGGGGGGGCACGGCGGGGGCCGCGAGGAGCCCCCCCATCGCCGCCGCCCCGCCCCCGCCCGGCCGCTCCGACGCGCCGCCCGCCTTCCTGGCTCCGGCTCCATTTTCGGGCTGCCTGGCCTCCCGCCGCCCCACCCCCCGCGCGTCCGCCCCCCAGAACGGCCCCGCGGGCGCCCCCGCGCCCCCAATACCCACCTGTTGTGGTTGAGGGGAGCCGGGCGTGCCTGGGGGGCCGGTCGGCGGGGGGCGCCGGAGGCTCGCGGGGCAGGATGGCTGCGGATCCGAAGCGGCGGAGCGGCTGGCGGCTGCCTCGGAGCGTCTGCTGCGCGCGCCTCCGCCTCCGCCTCCGCCTCCGCCTCCTTCTCCTCCTCCGCCGCCGCCGCCGCCTCCCCCTGCGAAGGGCCCGTCAATCCCCGGGCTGGAGTGAGCCGCTCAGCCCGCAGCGGCCTGGCCTCGGGGAGGGACAGCGGCCCCTGGCGAGCCCGCCGGGCAGAGCAAGTCGCGGCGGCGGCGGCGGGCGGGCGGGCGAGCGCAGCCGGCGAGGCGCAGCGACGGTGCGCGCGGCAGGGCGGGCAGGTGCGCGCCGGGCGGGCGCAAGGGAGGAGCGAGGCGGCGGGGGCCGGGGGAATGCGGCAGCGGGCGAGCGGGGCGCGCGGGCGAAGGACGGGGGGGGCAGTGGGGGGAGAAGGCAGGTGCGCGCGCGCAGCACGGGACAGGTGAGTCCAGACGAAGCAGCAAGGGAAGGAACGCCTTCAGATGCCTGGAGAAGCCGTCTTCAGCCTGGTGCCTTCCAGATGGTCTGGACCACGACTCCCATCATCCCCAGCACAGCTGGAGGGTGCCCGGTGGGAGAAAGCAGCTCTGGGGCTCCAGTGGGCAGAAGGGAGAGCTTTGATCTTCAGTTCTACTTAGGTTATTACGTTCCTTTCCCACTGAACAACCAAGCTTACAAAAATTAAAACCTGAGAAGTACATTATCCAATGCACAAATTTGCAAAGAGATAAGCATACAACGCAGAAACAGCCATATAGTTAAAAACAATTCTGAGCCTGAAAAATCAAGACTGGATTAAAACTTCATCATACTGTTTTAAATGTGTGTTAAGATGTTGCATGGTGTCACCGTATTTGTGTATCCTATTGCACTGTATGAATTGTTACTAACCTTCCAGAAAGCATAGACTATTCGGTGGCATAGCAATGAAATAAAAATGAAATTGCATAGGCAGACACGTGATCTGCTTCTGTGCTTCTCACTCCAGACTCAAATTAGCACATTTCGCTGCAATACACACACCCAGCCTCCATAACAGCAGACGTGTCAGGTTGACTAACCAGTTTGACCCATTCCAGCAACCTTTTGCCACAAAGACAGGTTCTCAAATTGGGCAGAGAGAAGATACCTGAGAGCCGATTCCGGGGTGGTGACCCACGACCCATCCAGGGAGCTTCAGCTTTGGAGACTCTTGCTGGCTATGTTCCAGCAGTGGAAGGACCCAAAGGCAAACCCAGGGTGCCGGAACACAATAATACCTGCCCGCCAAAAACAAAGCCTTCAGAAAGGTGTTTCAGTCTTTTGGAACTGGGGCGGGAAGATGCACAAAAGCTCAGAAGAAACAAGATAATAGGGGGTTTGGTTAAGACAGAAGAAAAGGGTGCAAATGTCATTTTGTTAGCTCTGAGCTGGTTGCATGTGATGTTTTTTAAACTGAAGTGTAGCAGACCTCTGCAGCACGCTTCCCTCTCTAAAGTACTAGACAGCTCTCACAACAGCCCTGCAAGTCTGGTGAGGCCGAGAGAGGATGACTTTCCCATGGCAGCTCAGTGAGCTTAATGGCAAAACAATAAACTATCTGAGGCCAGCAAGCAACATGTACCCCGGGGAGCTCTCACTTGGAGTGTATTATGTAGTGATGGGGTAGACACGGTTGGACGTTCCCCTTGGGACAGGGACTGGTTCGTTCAGCACTCCATCTCTAGCGTACCATTGCTATAAATGACACATTCTCCCGAGATCTCCAAGGAAACATATCAAAGCCAGGGAACAAAGCACCAAACAGAATTATCTTCCGCAAACAAATGGGGGGAAAGTCTAGAAAGCAACTGATGCCGTTTCAATTTGTAAAGGTGTGATGCACTGAGCAAGGGCCTTTCAGATACTACCAAATGCCCACCTGGAAGAAACTTCCAAGTGTAGGTTTGTCATGTGGTGCAGTGGTTAAGAGCATAGGACTGGGACTCAGGTGATCCAGGTTCTGGTCCCCGCTCAGCCATGGAGCCAACTGAGTGACTTTGGGCCAGTCACAGACTCTAGGGCCCAATGTACCTCCTAGGGCTCTTGTGAAGATAAGACTGGGGGAAGCAGGATCATGATGGAAGCTGCCTTGAATTACCTGAAAGGAAAAATGCAGGAATATAATAAAAATGTACAATGGCCCCACAGCTCCATTACTGCTGCAGTGAGAAGCATGCAGCTTCCCAGTTCTGGCCAGGACCTGGTGCCCGTTCCCACCAGCAATGCCACGATCAGCATTCAGCTTAACAGGACCCAGGAGGAGAGACGTCACTAAGCTCAGTGTTTCCAAGAATTAGCCTAGATCAGGGGCCAGCAACCTTAAACACTCAAACAGCCCTTTGGACCCGTTTCCCAAAGAAAAGAAAACTCCGGGAGCCACAAAGCCCCTGTGATATCTAAAATGAAGATAACACTGCATATATCGTTTTTTACCTTTATGCTATGTATAAAAAAAGCTATAGTGTGGTGCATTTATGAAATCGATGAATGATTCTTTTATATAATCTCCATCTGTGAACAGCTTCCTGTCCTGACTATTTCCTGAGCGGCCACAAAACTAACATATGCAGTTGGATTTGCAGACTTAATCCACTTCTTGAGATGATTTTTGCTCAGATCAACCTTCCGCATCAGTTCCGAAATGGCTTTTTCTCTCTCATCTCCATCCAGATATTTTTCAGCAAAGGCTGTGTGTTTGTTCTGGAAATATCTTGCAACATTCGACTTTTTGTTGTTTGCCAATTTCTCACCACATATTAGGCATACTGGTAAACCAGTCTGGTCAGCAGTGAAAGCAAATGAATCTGCCCACGTACCATTAGACGTTCTGTTTTCTTCTGAAACTTTTCTTTTCTTGGATTTATCCATGGTTGGCCCACCGGGGGCTGAAAAGCTCAGTAAATCACGTGCCGGCGGGTGTCACACATTGGCGGTTGTGACGCATATTTTGAGCGGCAGGGAGCTGCAGCAGAGGGATGAAAGAGCCACATGCGGCTCCGGAGCCGTGGGTTGCTGACCCCTGGCCTAGCGGCTCCGAGACCCAGAGGTGGAGGAGGAAGCACCTGAGTTGCTTCTTGCCTCTGCTACCTCAACTCAGTGCTGGCCTTGGGGAAGTCACTTTGCCTGAGACTCAGTCCTGCCCTCCAGCCACGTGCAACGTGGGGACACTGCCCTGCTAGATCTGGAACTGCGGAGACGTTCTCCAGGGTTGTGTTCCAGTGATAAGAGGGGCGAAAGCAAACAGTGTGGTGCCAAAAGGCCAATATTTTAGCTCAGAGCTCTTGATGCCCATAACTAAACCTCAGGCCAGTATGTGAGACTTTTAGAATGGGAGGAGGAAATGGCTCAACTGTTCTGCATCCCTGCAACTTCCTTTATCCCCAAACTGAACTTGGCCTGGATGCCCCATTAAGTTGAAGAAAATGCTAAATTGCTCCCCGTCCAAACTTCTGTTCTTCTGTGGAACACCTGGCTTTTTAAAAGTTCCGAGATCCTCATTTTGTATTGTGTTGTAAGCCGCCCCGAGGCTTCGGCAAGGGGCGGCATAGAAATGTTCTAATAATAATAATAATAATAATAATAATAATAATAATAATAATAATAATAATTTTTACACAAATTTGCAACATGTTTTCTATGAATTGGTTCTTTCTCTCTCTTTGGTTCTCAGTTTCATTCTAATTATATCTTTTACACTCACACCCTTCCTGGCTGCTGTATATGTTTTAATCTTATCTTTCACAGTAAGCTGTGAAGATCTAATTCGATATAAACTTACCTGGAAGTAAACCCCTCTGAAAAGAATAGGACTCACTTCTGATCCGAGGTGTGAAGGCCCCACACTGCAGCTGCATATGTGTTTTCTGTTCTCTGACTTCTGCTGATATTACATTTTAAATGGTGGCTGGATCCTAGTTCTCCGTGTGAAACAGCAAAGGGCATTCTGAGCAAGTCCTTTCCAACAGTTCAGCTTGTGCATTATATTAGCAGCTGGGTTAGGGGGACTTCAAGCCCTGGGGGTCCGAACCACTTCCTTTGCTGGCGCTCCTTATAACTTGCTCCCAACAAAGCCCGAGCTGACCCACAAAGCAGCTTTGATCTTGATGTGACCCACTTCTTGCTGCTTTAGGGCACAAAAGCCATTAAGTTAAGGGGCTGAGAGAAAGCAGAAGCACCAACTGCTTGGGAGAGAAAAGAAACCACACAGATCCATAACACCAAAACAATCCCTATTATTATTATTAAAAATAATAATTAATTATTATTATTGTAATAATAATATATGGTTGTTTCTATACTGCCCCTCAGCTGAAGCTTTCTGGGCAGTTTCTAGCAATATAAAGAACATTATAAAACAAAGCAATAAAACAAACACAAATAACAGAAAACAATCATGTTAAACGATTTTAAATCGATTTAAAATATCTTTAAAAATTGTTGTTGAGTAGGAAAATCATGCCGACTCTTCACAACCCCATGGACAACACTTCTCCAGGCCTTCCTGTCCTCCACCATCCCCTGGAGTCCACCTAAGCTCATGCCGACGGCTTCAGTGACTCCATCCAGCCACCTCATCCTCTGCCGTCCCCTTCTTCTCTTGCCGTCAATCGTTCCCAGCATCAGGGTCTTCTCCAGGGAGTCCTTCTCATTAGGTGCCCAAAGTATTTGAGCTTCATCTTCAGGATCTGTCCTTCTAAAGAGCAGTCAGGGTTGATTTCCTCTAGGATTGACTGATCTGATCTCTTTGTGGTCCAATAAATTGAAATAAATTTGGAAGATTCGGCAAGAAGAAAAAGCACCAGAATAACCAGGCCACTATCTAACCAGGGAGGTCCTGAAAGGTCTCCACATTCAGGGCTGTCTTAACCTGGGGCCAGAATGACAGCATTCACACGATAGCAGGAAGCACCAGGTCTCGGGAGGTTTGCAGAAGCTTACAAAGGAGGGTACCCTAAGGATGGGACTCCAAAAACAGCCGAAGGAGGGCTGAGAATGCTGCTTGGCTGTGGAAGGATGGCTACTTTGGGGAGCGCATAGAAATCCAAGAGGGAGGTGGAACGGAATGGAACCTTTCAGGAGAGGGCCTGGCTGGCCGACTGGAACAGCAAGCAGGATAGGCAGCTCTCTTTCACCACTCTAACCCCAGGTGTCCCTCTGCTTTTGAGGCTTCAGAATCACAGAAGGGCTCCACCTGCCTGCGTTGAATTGTAAGTCATGTGCTGCAATAGCCAAAGCCACTCCTAAGAGCAGCGTGTCCTGAGTGGAAGATTGCAAATTTCTTGAATCACCATGACGAGCAGCTTGCCGTTTTGGCCACAGTACCTGATTTTTCAAATTTTTGAAATGGTTGTGTGTTCAGAAGATGGCCCTTCTTGGCCACTTGAGGGCGCCATACGATAAAAGCCATCTGGCCGGCTGCGAATGCCGTTCCCTGCGGAGGAGCAAAACACAGCGGCGCGTCCTACAAAGCCAGCTTGGCTTCTGGGCAAGCGCAATGAATGGTCCCCTTGAGCCGGGGTGGGGGGGAAACGGCGGCAGCGACCCCCACCTTGCGGGTTGCCTCCCAGGATCCGGTGGTCAGAAATGGGCCACCTCTGAGGGTGGAGGTGCCACAGGCATCGGCCATAGCTAGGAAGAAGCTAAGAAGCCTGCTAAATGGGACCAAAATGCTCCGGAGGATCCCCAGGACCCTTTTCCGAAATGTTGCATGCATGCTTCTAGCATCGGTGGTGCGTCTAGGCCTGCAGTTTAGGCCCGAATCTTGAGCCCTCCCTGAGCCGAAAGACAGAATTTCGCATTTCAGCATGATTGCTTTCCAGCCTGTTTTTGTTGTTTAAATGTAATTTTAAAAAAATGCTTAAAACAAAGGTCAGGAGGGGAAGAGTATGAAAAGGACGGCACATTGGCCATTCCGGGAAATAGGGTGGTGTACTGGACAGAACATTAGAAAGACAGAAACAGAGCGAGTCAGAAGGGGTCTCCCGGGCCATCTAGTCTGACCCCTGGCTCTAGCTGGCTCTGCTCACGACATGCCCACCATGTGGACGTCCAGCCTATCCTTGAACACCCTCATCGATGGGGCCTCAACCACCTCCCGTTCATGTGATCTGGCACAGGGAGATGGAATAAATTTCTTAAGGACACTTTTTAATATAAAATTACTGTATGTTGCATGCTTGAAATACGATGTGAACCTAAAGTCAGTCGGCCTTCAATATTCACATTTAACCAAACTTTGAAAGGGAGTTGTCCAATAAAAAGGATATGTTAGAGAAAAGAGTACCAAAATGTGCCATCTTATATTTTCTCACAAAAGATGTGCATATTATGTGAAAAATATGTACTGGGAGAAAGGTACACCAAAATGCTGGCATGTTTTTGTGCAAATCAAAAAACAAACTTCAAGTTTCTGAGGAATGGAACTTAAGCCAGGAAAAATGGTAAAAAGACAGTATAGAAAAGTGTTAAATAAATAAATAAATAAATAAATGTGCTTCAAGTTAAAAACAAATTCAACTTAATATTGGGTGGGTGGGGAGGAGAGAAATGGAAGAAAGCCAAAATGAAAAGATTTGTCTATCATTAATCTGCTTTTTCTAATGTTCCATCTGCCAAACTGTGGCCAGCCCCATGTCACAGATAAACAGGGTTTAAAAAGAAAAAGATGACCTTCCACGGGTTTGAGTCAGAAATGCCTATTTTTTGTGATTTCTCTGTGTAACAATATACATCTCTGTATCTGCATGTACAATCAAGAACAAACACTTTCAACAATGCATTTCCTTAATCTAATCACAAAGATAAAACAAACCAAATTTGCAACAGTGTCTTTTTTTGCTTCCTGTTATTCTTTTGAAAACTTACATTTCTGTCTCATCCTCTGTTCCTCCCCAAAAGGATTTCTGAGTGGCAGCAGCCCAAAGAACTGAGGCTGCAGGGTTTATCCACTAATGAATGGAGACTGCTTTCTAAAAAGTTGTCTTGCTCTGGATGCAACCCTACCACCCCTGCTGCTCCGAATTGGAAGCTGCTTCTACCATGCCCTGCGCCCTGGTTTTTATCTAGACAGCTGTTGACAGCTGTGTGGATAAAGCTCCAGTGAAGGGAAGGAAGGAGTCTGGGATACCGATGATGATGATGATGATGATGATGATGAGACCACTGCTTGCTCAGTCATTCCTCCAAGGACTCCCTGGTGAGATGTTAATTTTTAGACCACCTAAAAAGATGCCAACATGTTCCAGACTGACCACCTGTAATATGGCCAGAAAACATTTCCCAAAGCAGTGTGACTCCCGCTTGTGTTGCTGCCAACATTATCAGGTTGAGAGAATGCAATTGTAAGGAGGAGGACATCCTCAGGCATAGCTGCACGGCCCGGAGTGCCCCGATCTTGAAAGCTCGGCACGAGGCGAGAGTCAGGAGTGTCCCCAAGGACGGAGGGGAGCTGGGACTGGCGCTCTGGCCGGCGGTGCAGAAACGTCCCAGCCTTGCGCGCAAAGGGTGCAGTCCTCAGCTGCAAGAGGGAAGGCCGCTGGGCAGGGCTGCAGTGCCAGAACAGCCGGCAGAAGCTGGCGCGGGGTGTGCACGTTTATTAATAACCTGCTGAGTCAAGGGGCTCTTCTCCTTGGGTTCCAGGATCACAAGATCCAGAAGCTGCGTGGCTGGCAGAATTGTGGTTTTCATCCCTCCCTCCTCTCTTATCTGTGCAGACAGATGGGAAGGAAGCAGCCCCGGGGACAGCATGCCCATCGGCTGACCTTTCCTGCAGGGGACTTCATCCAAGTCTGGGGTTTGCAGGCCAGAGTTCCCCAATCCGGGGTCCCAAGCAGACCTTCTGGGGGTCACCAGGTGACTGCTGCCTCCTTCCCCCACACGGCCAATCACTTGCTAGCTCCCTGGCATTTGCACAATACTGCTTTCTCCCACTTTAAAAGGCCAACTTGTCTCTCCAAAGACTTAATTATTGGGGGTGCAATCTTTCAGCTAAAATATCTTCACTATTTCAGCATCTCTGGGGTGTCCTGGCCCTGCTTTTTCGCCCCTCAGCCTTGCACACCGCTGAGATATGGCCCGTGAGTGCTTCTCTGCGGTGCGATTTGGCCCAAAAGAGCTTCTGCCGCTTGCTCCAGACTCCAAGGGGAACTACAAAGGGAAGGCCAAATGCACTTCCAAAGCATATTGCTTTTGCTCTTTGCAAAACAGCTGGCAATGACAGTGTTTGCTGGAGCTGGACGTATCCATGGAAGCAACCACTGTTCCTGCCACTCAGGGCTGCAGGCCAGAGTGTTCTCTAGCTCACCTAGAGACGCTGCAAGAAACCAAACCTGGCTCATTCCTCCTTCTCGGTTGGTTTGTATGCCACTTTACCACAACAAAATGGCATTCAAAGTAGCTTACAGAGACCTCCGAAGAAAGCAAAAGTGCAAGAAATATGGCAAGCTTTCAGGACAAGTGACCCTGACCAGTCATAACAAAAGTTACATCAAATAGCCCAATTGCATCAAAATAAATATTCATCAAGCTTAAGCAGACCTTGAATAATTCATTGCAAAGGCCTAACAGTAGAAAAATACAGAATAAACTCCTACATTGGAAGAACAGAAAAAAATACACCTACTGCTATTACTACTACTTGCATTATATCACGCTTGTTTTCTTTTGAAGAAAACCCAAGACACTTACATAGCTCCATTATATCCTCATGACCACAACAGCCCTGTGAGGTAGATGAGGCTGAGTGGGAATGACTGACTCAAAGTGCATCACGGCTGAGAGGGGACAAGAACTCAGGTCTTCCAGGTCCCTAGGCAAGCGCCACTCTTGCCAGCTACATCACACCCTCTTTCTAGGCTAACCCAGCCGCACAGCTCAGGCAAGACCCCTTCAGGGCCTTTCAGCGGTCATTGTCTCTCAGAAGGGCTGCCACAGGTCTGTCCTGTACTGGGAAGGCACCGTTTGCTTGAAGGGCTGTCCAAACCAGCTTTAAAGATCAAGAACCATCCAGATGGAGGAAGAGCCGGGCTTTGAGGCTGCCCATCAACGGTATCTGGAGAGCGGGTTAAGCACAGAAGGTGCACCTGGGCAAGCCTTCCATGCTTCCTTGAGATGCCCTGTGCTTCTTTTGGAGTTGCACCAATTCTTTCCAATTGTGCATATAAACGTTAGCAGTGTCCATGTTTGTTGCTAATGTGCATCCTCTTCTTTTCCTTTCTCCGGGCAGCGAGGTGAGCGGCTGGCTGTCTGGGCCTTTCTTCCTGCGTACAAGTCTTGTCTGCCACTGAGCAACAGTCTTTCCCCTTGGATTGCGCTTTCCCGCTCTGCCCCGATGCAAGGGAGGCCACGGAGAAATCCAGGCGAACGCACTGCTGCAGCACTGGAGGGCTGGAAAGGGGCCAGAGAAAACAGGCGTCCAGATAAAGCAGCAGAGCTGCCCAGTGAATGGTCCCTGGAGCAGAGAGTGTGCCTTGACGAGCGGCAGGCCCAGGCAGATTCCTACCCCATCTCCTTCCAAATTAAGAGTCTATGGTGAGAGGAAGTACGGTGTACTGATTAGAGCAGCGGACTGGGCAGAACGGGTTCGTGCCTTCCTTTGGCCATGACACCTCCCAGCTCTGTTTGGGCCAGTCACTGACTCCCTTGGCCTGATCTACCTCACAGGGTTGTTGGGAGGACAAAAATAGGAAGGAGAGAGGTCACGTAAGTCACCTTGGGCTCCTTGAAGGAAAGACACCTAAGTGCAAAAATAAAGACAATCATCTCCCATCAGCCAGTAAGGCCAGTGCCCAGGAATGCTGGGAGCTGTAGTCCAAAACCTGTGGAGGGGACCACGTCGGGGGAAGCCTGGAGCAGAACCTTGAGCGACGTTAACATTAATTGCAGCCAGGAAACCCTCTGGAGGACTTTGGGCCAGTCTCTCAGCTAAGCCTACCTCACAGAGATGTTGTGAAGATACAAATGGAGAGGAGGGGGCCGTGTCACCCCCTTGGGCTCCTTGCAGCAGGAAAAGCAGGACAGAAAGGTATGAAATAAATCAGTCGTGCTGTCCAGAGTCCCAGTGAAGCCAGGGCCAGTCTATACGTCACACTTCAAACCCCGCATCCTGGTGAGGCCAGGGGACAGGAGGAGAGGAGGGGCAGGGCAGCGAAAAGCCTGCAGTCCCAGGGGGCAGGAGGAGAGGAGACTGTGAGGGTCCCAGGAGTTTTATCTCAGCAAGGGCTTGGAGGGGCAGGCTGCCTCCCAGGGATTTGGGGCGCCTCCCTGGCCCTGGTCCAAGTCCCTACAGCATCGGCTCTGCCGGTGAAGGAGACCGTGAAGGAGGCCGGGGGCTTTAGCAGCCGAGATGCCCCTCTGCACCAGCCTCGCCGCTCTCCGTCCTTATTCTTTCTCTTTATTTGGAGTCCACTGGGGTGGAAATCCATTCATTTTAATCACTCACTAAGCCGCTGCAAATCCTATTGGTGCATTTGGAGGCGCTGCCGGGGAGAGATGTATTGTCTGTGCCAGGCTGCTATGCAGTGCAGGAGTGGACCTGCTGGAGGACTTTTAGAGGGTGCCGCTCCCCACGTCCCCACAGCGGCCACAGCGGCCCCGGGGCTGCGGGCCCCGCTCAGAGCTGCTCCCTCCTCTCGGTTCCGCGGCCTCAGGTGAACCTGCAGCTGCTGCAAGGAGGCCCGGCTGCATGGGAGGAGGTGACCCGAGGCCGTTTCCAGAGTGGAGGCAGGATCAGCCCCTGGCAAGGGAGGGAAGAGATCCTGGGCCTCTTATTTATTCATTTTATTCTTTGGCCAGGGCGACTTAATTTATTCTGTTAATTTATATTAATTTAAGGAAGTTTATTTATGGATGTGAGCCGCCCCAAGGCTTCGGCGAATGGGGCGGCATAGAAGTCTCCTAAATGAATGAATGAATGAATGAATGAATGAATGAATGAATGGCCCCAAAGGAAACAGTGCCTTTGCCCCTTCGGCAACCCACTTTTCTCTCAGGCTCATCCGTTGGCCTTCTGGGGTTGAGTGTTTTTAGACCGGCTGCATCCCTCGTGATGCCCCATTTGGTGACACTGCAAACTCTGTATGTGCCCACCAGCTCGAAAAGGTTGGCTTTCCCTGCTCTAGTCCATCTGCAGCTCCCGAGAAAGATGGCACAGGGAGCCAGAAGATGTGGGAGACTGGGGGGGGGGGGGCGGGGGAGTCCACAATTCAGGAGCTGTAGCTCGCAGTTGCCGTTTTCGGCTTCTGATCCTTTTAATGCTCAGCTAACATGACTTGGTTCTCACTTTCACGAAGGTTGGCAGATGTCAGAATTACGGCCGGTGACAACCCGTAAAAGATCTTGCTTCAGTTGGATTTTGATTTCATTGGCATACGTGGAAAAGATACTATTTATGACATACCGGCAAATCCGATTGAGGGTTTTGCCCAGTTTGATTGCAGCGGTTGTCAGATCTGTCATGCGTCTGCCCTGCATGCCAAATGTCCTCCGGGCTTGTGAACATAACCTTCCTAAGGTTGTCAAAATCTGTGCAAAACATTTCATGACAGTGCGGGGACACCACTCTGAGCCAAGAAGACGCGGACCAAAAGTCCGTCTCGGCCGGCCGGCTGTTCTCATACAGGCCCACCAGATCCTCACGGGAAACCCACAAGTGTATAACAGTCCACCCATACCCTCCTACCCATGCTCCCCAGCAACTGGCATACTTCCTCTGATCTGGAGGAGGTAGCCTAGAACCCTCACGGCTAGTCGCTTGGATAACCTCCATGAATTTGTCAGTCGACTTTCAGAGACATCCAAATTGGTGCTCAGCACCAAATGAATTTAACATCTAACTGTGTCCTTCCTCAGATCCGCACTGAATCTCACACCAGGCTAAGAGAATGAGGCACCTTGTGGCACCAAATAAGCTTTCTACGTCCAAAACACGCTAAAGGAACAGGGAATTGTTTAAAATATAACTTTCCTGCAAGGAACCTCTGAGAGCCTCTTGGATAACAACTGCCAGGTTGCCAGAACCACAGGGGTCCAGTGCCTTTAGGGCAAGTCCACAAATAGCCGACTCTTTAATTGTAAGGGCGCATCAGTAAGACATAAATGGCGCCATCACACACCCCGTGCATGAACGAGACCTGAGCGCCCAGCTGCCGAGCGCCAGTCCAGTGCCGGAGTCTGCTGAGGGCCACGTCCCGGGGGGGCTGGCGGGTCTGCTCCTCCTCTTGGCCAAGGCTTGGTTGTCCTCCGATTGCTCTGGCCCAGACAGCAGAGGTGGTGGTGTGGAGGAGCGATGGGAAATGCCACGGCCCCCAAGCGAGGGGAAGTCCTGTTGAGGAAGAGGAGGAGGGGCAAGAGCCCCGGGTGACCATGGGAGGTTGGCTCAAACAGGAGAGGGACCCATGGGAAATCCCATGCCCCAGGGCTCCCGAAAATCTGGAGCTGGCCCTGTTGCAGGCAGCACAGCGACTTTGTATTTTCCTGAAAATTCAGGAGTGAGAGGAAAAGCTTCCCCTGATCCAAACCCTAACCCAGAGGCATTTCCACAAGATGCAGGAATGTCACACTCAGGGGGTTGGGTTGACCGCCCTCTTCCTCTCTCCCATGCAGGCGGCTTCCAGGCCCCTGGAACAGTGCAGACATGCAGAATTCCTCAGCCCATCCCCTGTCCTTGCCTAACCCTGAGGAGACCAGCATGAAGGATCAGCACAGTCAGTCGGGCAGTTGCCACCGGCGGCACCGCTCGCCCGAGGGGCCAGAATTCCCCGGAATGCCTCCTCCTCTTCCGTCATGCTCACCTGCCTTCCTCACTGGCCCAGGTGAAGTGAGCAGCAGCAGCAGCAGCAGCTGACGCCATGGCCCCTCCCTCTCTGACCCTCTGCAGGTTGCACACCCAAGTGGCAGTCGTGGGCAGCCGGGGAAGGGGAGCCAGTGCAGCTGGGGCCACGGTGGGCCACTGGGGAAGGGGGCCCGGGGGCCCAAAAGCCCCCCGACCCTTGCTGCTGTCCCTGCATAAGCCACCCCTTACGGCTTGTGCTTGCCGCTTTTCTGCAATGAGTCCGAGGGCTTCGCAGGGTCGGCGATGCAGCTCTCTTCTCAAGAGACTCTTCCTCTTCCTCACCCTCACCCCTGAGCTGCTGACTCGGGCGGCCCGCTCTCCTTCCGCTCGGGAGTGTGAGATAAGGGGAGCGCTTTCCGCCTTTCCCGGGAGTATTTTGTCTGCACCACGTTGGCAAGCAGAGTTAACAGGAAGGAGGCTATCTGGACAGGAAGCCGCCGCCGCAGCCCAGACCAAGCACGGAAGAGCCGTCTGCCCTCCTTGCCGAGCCCACGGCACGCAGGGAAGCGCTGCAAAGCCTCCCACCCGCTCTTGTGGTCTCAGGTTGCCCCATCCACCCAGGGCACAGGTCCGGAAGGCTTTGAGGGCACCCCCCACCCCACTCGGGCCTCACTGGCATAATTCTTCTGGAACATGGGGAATCCAGAAATGTGAACACCCGCAATGCTCGGGGTCACTTGGATCCTCCAGGTACAGCCTGGAGCACAAATTGAGCAGCACCAGAACATTAAACTGGGGCAAATCTTGCCGAACTGGTCCAGTTTTCCTCTGCTGACTCCGCCAGGGTTGGCTTGGTCTATGGAGGGAATGGGCACCGCTTAGGGAAAGGGTACAAAATCCAACCAGTCTGCTCTTGGAGGGTGGGAGAGCAAACTCGGAGGGGTATTGGGGGTGGGGGGGGAGCTTGGCCCAGCCAGGACTGGAGCTGTTCACAGCCACTCCATCCTCCTTCCTTCCCTCCCTCTCCTCCCTAATTCTGGTGCTTGATGGCTGAAAACAATTCCTAGTGGAAATGCAGAGTCGGACAAATGGGGAGAAGAAAATCTCAGTCACTCCTTCTGCTCGACTCTGGGGGAACATGAGCCTTCAGGTTTGGGGCTTACGATCCTTGCTGTAGGACTGAGAACATAGCCTGGAGTTCAACTGAGAGCTTAGCCACGTTGTGTAGTGGTTAGAGCATTAGTTTGGGAGCCCCACTTGGCCACAAAACTTACTGGGTGGCTCTGGGCCAGTCACTGACTGTTAGCCAGCCTACCTCACAGGGTTGTTGGGAGAATCAGATTGAGAAGAAGAGCAGGATTATGAAGGGGAAAAGGCAGGCTATACATGGAGTGGTGGAACTGTATAAACTACTACTGGAAAACTACTTTTTGATTTCCACCCTAAGTATATTGGTGCAAACAATTACACAAGTAGAATCTTTAGTCATTCCCAAAGACAAAACAACTTGCTGTTTGGGGTGACGTGCACATTTCAAGAGATCACTGAAGAAAATGCCGATGCCGCAAGGTGTTTGGTGCGAAGCTGGGCCCCGCCTCGCAAAAGAGTCTTGCTTATTCGCCTGCAATGCCGTTTCAGGATGAATTAGTGAGCCAATTGGAGCCTGATTATCTGAAGTCAGAATTAATCATAATGCTGTGGAAAGAACAACAGTTGGACACCCATCGCCTGCCTGATGCTTTCCAGAGGCCATCTCCTCCCCTCTGCACGTCCATCAAAATAAAGGCCAGCAGAGGAGGAGGAAACGACGGGGGACTCTGGGGGGGGGGGGGTTCTCATTCTCCTGAAATAAAGCTATTTATTGGGTTGTGTTATCCCAGATGAGAGATGTTTCTTCTGGCCCTGGGCCTCTGGAGGCAAAATGAGCCCCTAAAGGGGCAAAAAGCCCCATTCACACCATCCCTGCCCAGCTGCTCTCGGTTCCAGGCAGTGGCTTCCATGACGGAGTCCAGCCATCTCTGACTTGGCCCTCCTTTCCCACGTCTGCCTTCTACCTTCCCTAGCAGAACGGCCTTCTCCGGGGAGCTGTGCCTTCTCAGATGTGTCCCATGTAGGGCAGCCCCGGTTTTGCCCTTTTTGCAAATCCCTGAGCTCAGAGGCTGTT